TGTTTATTGAGACAGGTCAACTTTGAAAATTACGCACATTTCTAAGCATCAAGATTGAAGCCAAGGGGGGTAAGGATCGAGAGACCGAGGACAAGACGCGAGAAAATCGGGATGAAGCCCGCCTACCCGCCTTGAATATGCTACGTGATGCGATTCGCGTTTCCTATTTCTCTTCTCTTTTTTTCTCTCTTTTTCCGTCCGTATGCTACGTCGAGCACTCGCATATTTCCTCGCACATTCTTTTCTTTCAATCAATTATATTATATTAATCATAGCGATTAATGCGGTATTATTATGCGCGTCTTTCGCGCTGAATTCCTATGCTGTACTCTGCTTTCCAAGAGACGTTGGCCTCGTCATTCAGGATACCGGAAGCAATCTTCTTTCGCCTCCTGTTCTTCCTCTTCTTCGGTTCGCGCTTCTTCGTGTCCACATCCTATCGTTTGGTCTTCTTAAAATTCTAGCAATTCCTTTTTGTCAAACCTTCTTCGGCCGATCTTCGTCCGTCCGTGTTTCGTCCCCTTTTACTCGTCTTGTTTGATGGACAATCTTACCGGGGAGATCTATCCTATCGTTCGAGGACCAAGGATCACGTGGTAGCAGCCTCGCGATCCCGTCAGCCGCCGTGTTAACTCGCCAACGCGATTTCAGTGGCGACCTTGACGGTCGAGCAGCCGATCAGCGAGCGGCTTCTCGGTCACAGAATGTCCGTCTCGTAGACTTTGCTAGTGGTCGTGGTGGACGTGGTGGTGACGGTGGTGGCCGAGCCGGTGGTCGTGGTGCCCGGTACTACCGTCGTGGATGTGGTAATGTTGCCAGGGCCGTTGGTCGTCGCTGTCGTCACGACCGTCGCGGCGGGCGCTTGCCCGTTGATGACCTCACTCTTGGCTACGTGGTTACCATTGTCGCCGATGACTTCCTGCGAGATCTGGGGCTTGATGCTGAGGCTCGTGAGGGATCCGGAGCTCGCCGCGCTTAGACCAAGGCCCATCTTCGCGAGGAGATTGCTTTCGGAACCGGTCTTCTTCAGAAGATCGGGCGGCGCCGGTGGCACAGTGGTGAGACCGGCCGCGTTCCTCTGCAATTGCTGCAGCCTGGCGTACTGTTCCTGCAGAGCTTTCTGCTTCCTGAGTAGCTCCTGATGCCGTTGTTCCAACTGTTCCTGCCGACCGCGCTTGCTCTGCAGTCCCTCCTGCGAATTGACGCTCTCGCAGGAACTGGAATTGCTGGTCGACAATACCGCGGAGGATTGCGAGGACGACGAGTTGTGCGGCCCGACGACGCCCGGTGTGGTCGACGCTGAGGACGCGGAAGTCTGCTCCGCGGTAGACAGGATCGTCGTGGCATTCGGTGGTAAGGCCATCGGCGGTTTACCTTCCTTGCCGATGAGATTGTTGTTGCCGCTGCCGCGCGTCGAAGGTCGGCGCAGAGTCGCGTTGCCGCTTTGCAGGTTGCACGGATGATTCCTGGGCGGCAGTTGCGGGCTGGTAGGACTCGCCAGGGGCGATCGAGAGCTGGTGCGCGGCGGTGGTGGCGGCGGCACCCTTCTGGCACTCGCCAGCTGCAGCAGTTCGGCGTTCCGTTCGGGTACCGGCGGCTTTTGACCAGGCAGGAAGCTCTGCGGTAGCACCGGCATACCCGGCTGTTGCTGCCCCTGCTGGTCCTGCGACAACGACAGCGCCTGCAGCCTGGCGATGGGCGGTGAAGTGTCGGTGTCCGAACTCGAGGGATACGAATGCAAGCGACGTAGTGTGCCGCCCGGCGCCATCCCGGGCAAACCCATCAGGCCGACGGCGGAGGATGCGATCAGGGCACCGCTGGAAGAGTCAATGCTGCCTTTCCGACCGATATCGCTGATGCTGGGCGCGCGTCCGCCACCGCCACCGGTGGTCGCCGCGACGGTCGTCGAGTCTCGAAGGCTGGAGGCACGGCCGACGTCGGTTAGGAGCGCATTCGAGCCCGGGTGTACCGACAAGCTGCTCGACACGTGGCCCATCTGCGAGCCTGGCCGCGAGAAAGTCTGCAGTTCGTCTAGCAGAGCGTCGAGTGCGTTCTCCGGACGCTGCTGATGGTCGGCGGATGGCTCGTAAGGGTGGCCCCCTCCCCCGAGGACGCTCGCTGACCCCACGACAGTGCGTTCCGCTGGCACAGGGGCAGCTGCCTGTTCGTTCAGACACGTGGAATCAACAGTTGGGCCAAGAACGTCGCGCCGGCCAGCCGGCCGGCCCGGAGGGGCCTGGCTCTGCCTCGCGGCGTCGCGCCAGCGTCCCCCCTGGGGGACGCGGACTGCCGGCTGTCCTTCCGCGTGCTGGCGCGACGCACCTCGGCATCGTGAGGAGGTCGTGCTCTTTTTTTTTCCGCGCTCTCGTTGAGAAGAAGCATCCCGCGCGATCGTCCAGTGGTGTCTCGTTCCGCGCGGTGTCCCGCGCGAGTTTTGATATGAACGTATATAAAGTACACAACGATACATATAGATACTTACGCGCTTGTAGACACGGCGAACACACAGACACATATAGATGTATAAGGGTGTAGAGAACGATAATATGATAAGAGTTTTGAAAATCGCACATTGACTATGTACACTTGATTGTATTTACAGAGACAGATTTTTAAATTTGAATTCTTGGGTGCTTGGTGCAGACCGGAAGTAGTCCAAGTACCGGATGTTAAATGTGTCATATATCATGGTTTCACATTTTCTCGTTTGCAGTATGCTGTCGCTGCGGATGCTTTTTCTGACAACGAGAGCGATGATCGTAGAAAGTGGCGTCTCGATGCGAGGATCCGAATAATGAGTTTGAGAGGATGAATTGCGAAAGAGAGAGATAACAGAGAGATGATATTTGAAACACAGATCACGCAAAGTCCGATATTATTTCATGATTTCATCGTTTTCTAATATCTTGCAAAATTCTACATTTCTGTCTCTTAGCAAAATTTTATTAGAGTCAGTAGTTGCAATTTATACTATTGAGATTTTTACAATATTTTTTCGTAATTAAGAATATTGATTATGTGTAATATCTTAACGGACAGTTAACGGTTAATTTTACGAAGTATTCGATTTTACTCATGTAATGGACTTTGCGTTACGTGTCGTTAAACCACGCGAACATTTAACGCGAAGACGCACTTCGACACACCACGATCATACGATCGGAGGGTCAAGAGTCGAATTTCGTCTTTTTCTTCTATGCCATGCGTGTATGTGCGAAAAATGTACATGCGTAATAACGATGTGACAGAAGGGAGAGCATGACTATGAGACAATGAGTGATAATGAGCGAAAATCGCGGAAATGCAGAACATCGTGAATGATGAAAGTAAAGAGAAGAGACGCGCGAGAGAAGAGGATGGATGAAAGAGAGACACAGAGAGCGATAGAAAGGGAAAGAAAGTCAGAGAAAGAGAGAAAGAGAGAGAGAGAGAGAGAGAGAGAGAGAGAAGAGAGCGCAATGATGAGTCGTG